CTTACTCTCTCTCTCTCTCTCTCTCTCTCTCTCTCTCTCTCTCTCTCTCTCTCTCTCTCTCTCTCTCTCTCTCTCTCTCTCTCTCTCTCTCTCTCTCTATTATTATTATTATTATTATTATTATTATTATTATTATTATTATTATTAACTAATAAATCTCGCGTTTATATAGAAAATTAATGGGAATTATGTCCTGTGCATATACAGCTTTAGCAAGAGCCGTCGTCTTGAAAATGCTCTGAAAATAGAAACGAGTCCATGAATAAAATGAAGTGTCGTTCCCAGATCGGCGATCGCTCCTGACGCGTCTCTCAGGAGATTCCCGTCCTCCATTATAGATCGAGAAGTGGCCTCAGCACGATGACGGCGGCTCACGAGGTCATTAATAGCGCGGCGTGTCGAATTTTGATCGAGAACGCGGCGAGGAGCTGCGACGAGGACTTCGTCGCATCGACCTTCGCGCAGGTTTGTCCCTGAAACTTTTGCAGAGAGCAGGATCGATGTCTCGCACGATGCTTCGCACGACCACCATACTCTGTGTGTGTCACACGTCCACCGGGTGTCCCGAAACGATCTTTGCGCCTACTCTTGTTCAAATTCGATTTTTTTTACATCGGACATTTCAAGGGATATTATAGTAACTAGATTATAGTTATTTATTTGTAATATATAGATACGCACAGAATGGATTACATAAAATAAATATCCATTTTCTATTTAAATTCAGGGATTAAGGTCAAAGATGATTATTGTAAATTTTATTATTGATTTTAATTTTATTATTTAAATTTTATTTTAACATTTTATTGACAATTTTCCAATTACTACTTAATTATCTTAATCCTCGAATTTATGTCGACAAGAAATATTTCTTCCAATTTGTTGCGAGAGTTCTAGTAATTACCGGAGAATGCTGAAGAATGCGAACTCGAATTTATCATTGCAGCCACCGGAAAATGAGCTGCAGAAAGTGGGCGAGCGCGTGCCAAGCGAGCACGAGCTTAGGGTGCAGCGATCGTTGCAGCGGCTCAATGTGCCCGACTGGTACAAGAATTCACCCGCTGCCCGCGACGGCTTCCGGCTGAAGAGGCACTCCGACGCATCACAACACGGAGGATGGCGTGCCCTCGGCTCCAAAACAACCTCCCTGTCGTCTCTCTCGTCGTCTTCCAATCGACAGCCGACCACAGGTGAGATAGATACGCGCAAAATAAATTAAAATGTATAAAATCAATATCCATTTAAACTAATTAGGATTAGGAATTTTCTTTGAACCAACGATCGAAGTTTGTTGAGGAATTTTGGAGAAAGTTGACCGTCATAAATTCAAAAGTGTCAGTAAATTAAAAAAATCAAAATCAAATATATCTGATTCTCAATTTGCATTTTTAATTCATGAATGCACAGCAAATATTTTTTATTTTTTATCTTATAGTGTAATAATTTGACACAACTTAACGGTGTACAATGGATGTTGTATCTTGTTCTTATATCGCAGGTGTCCTTCTCAGTCCCAGTCCCACGCCTCCCGTATTCTCGAGATGGAGCACCAGCTTGCTGAACAGCGCCGGCAGTTCACCCGCGAGTTCGGCCAGGTCATCCTTCAATCATCGACAGCCCTACTTGGGCTGGCGTTCGCAGGAACGGCTGGCCAACCCGCGGACACCGGCGGAACGTCTTGCTCAGGGTATTCTTCCCCAGCTGCAGGCCGCAAACAAGGTAAAATGCGAGAGAAAAAATCTATCTCTTTCTGTACTCGAGTCTTCATGCTCATTTCGTGCTCATTAGACTTTTGCAATTTTCTCCGTGCGATTTAATCTCAGGCAAATTAAAATCGTCCATCTACCACTTAACGTAATTTTCCCTTATCCATTTTGCCGTAAATGTGCCAGTAAATGCGAAACATTCCATGGAAATTGCTGGTGCGTCACTGGTAGCGTCACAATTTTCTTTACGTCAGCAGGCCTTAGAATTCCGGCGTTTGCAAATCGATATTCGCAATTGTGTAAATATATCTCTATTACATTTTGTATTAGTTACGCGTTTACGCATTCGTGCACTATCGTATCTATTAATGGATTTCAAAAAGGCAAAAACACAATTGTGCATGATCCCGTGCAAATTCGTTCTCGTCTGCAAGCATCTTTTGCATTTTGTTCTTTGTGCAATTTATTTTTAATTTCCACAGACAGCACGCAAGCGCGTTGCCACGTTCTAAAATTAGAAAATCTGGCAGGAAAGCTTCAGGCGTATTATATCTTTTGCAATTTCTTTAATAACAAACGACATTTTATATATTAATATATTTTTTTAAATTGATTGATTATAATTGCTTACATTATTTTTTTAGAAAATTTATTAAAAATTTTCGAGAAAAACAGCACGATAAGACGATAATTGATAAATTTAAATTATCAAGATAAATAACTTTCTGGTATTAATTTAAAAAATCGCAAAATTGTATTAAGTCTTATTCGTCTAATCTAAATTGTAATAAATCTTTGTTCGTCTGGAATAGACCTCATATTTGTTTTATGACAATAGCAACAGCAGCAGCAGCAGCAACAGCAACAGACAACGAATCAGCAACTGGAGGTACGGAACTCGATAAAGGAAGTGACATCGGCCATCGTGCACTACGTGCAGAGCGGTCAAGAGGTCGGCGGAGGCGGTGGCGGCCGACTGTCGCCTCGATCTCGACCTGAAGATTGGGATGAGAGGGGCGGTGCGAGGTCTACCAGCCCCAGAGGTGAGCACTAAAGCATCCCCCCAGCCACAAAAAAATACAATATACCATCCTACCAACATCACAACCACCATCACCTTTGCTCTCCATTACGAAGGTAATTTTTGAGTTTTCCTATTTTCTTAATGTCTTCTTTTGTCTTCCTTTGCAAGCTGCCTCTCTTTTTCTCTCTGTCTCTGTCTCTCTCTTTGTCTCTATATGCATCAGCTGGTTCTGCGCAACGATAAGGTCAAAACAGGTCGGTTTTTAACATTTTTAACCTCCTCCTCGATTTTTTTGGATTAAAGAATTTTAAGGGTTCCGTGAGACAAATTTTCTAATAGAGCGTTAAATTCACTAGAAGCCCGTTTCAAAATATTTTCTTATTCAGTGAATCAAGTACCCTTAGAATTCTCTAGAATTCTCTTAAACCCCAATTACGATATTAAATTTTACTATATTAAATTATTATCGAGATTTATATAAAACTCATTACATTTGGAGTTAATGGACATTATGGACATCGTTAAATCGTGGAAATTTAAATTATGGAATTTTTAATTAATTGGAAATTTAAAAACTTGAATTTATTTTGTCATATCCAAGATAAAAATACAATTTAAGATGGGAACCGCCACGCATTAAATGTTCAAACGAAGACTCTTCTTCTCGTTCATCATTGACGAGACACCGAATGCAAGTCATAGCAACTTGCAAGAATGCAACTTCTTACGAGTAATGTGCATACACGTGTCACACTTTAACGTAGTACAAGTGTTCAAGTGCAATTGACATCTTCCGCATTTCGAATCGCGCTGCACATCCTCCATCGATGCATCTTACAACCGGTATCGCTTTAGCTCATAAATAAATCCGCGAATAGGATGTAAATGGCCAGTCTCAGTATCAAGTAGTCCTTCGTCAAACCTATCTTAGGTTTCTCCGATATCCTATAACCTATCTTAGGTTAGATCCGATATCAGAAGTGCTAGTCTAGAATTCGCCTTCCAGATTAGCCGTCTGTTACAGATAACGTCCTTCTTGGCTTTGATTCCTCTGACGGTTCCTCTGACGGTTCCTGTTCTGAAAATGAAATATCAAACAATATTTGATACCAGTTTAGTATAGAAATTTCTATATATGTAGAAAGTTGTAAAAACTGACATTCACACATTTTGTTAATCTAAGAAAATCTAAAAAAAATGACGCTCGATGATATATCGTCGCATATCGACTTGACTCTAAAATCTAATGTTGCCGAATTGTGATTAACATTGGTTATATGTATGTGGATCGCGACCTTCTCATCTCAGACAATCCCGACGTTGTGCCGCGATTCGAGGCAAGTCTCTGCTATTTCGATAATGTCTCATGACCGTCGCCACCGAAATAGATTACCCTGAAATTCAAACGTCTTTCCTCCTCTTCTCCTTTCATCTTTTCAACGCGAGCGAACTCGCGCGAACTCTCGTTATCAATGAGACATAATATCGGATCTGAATCGACAACAAAAGTAGAGCAGAATGAAAAGCTGCACTGTATAAAGTCGCAGCTCGAGTTGCAAGTTCTGTCTTATCATTGAAACTTCGATAGACTTGGACTATCTTTCTGATACTGCTGTGACGTGCATTTAAATTTTTACGATCTAACAACTAACACTAATACATTGTATTTGTGTAATACATTGTGTAATACATTGTATTTACATTTGTATTAACATTGATGATGAAACTAACCCGCTGCTTTTATTTAAATACTTCTTATAACTTATTATTTAACAAAAGTCTCGTGCTGGCTTCACTAACGATATTTTTTCAAGATTTATAAACATTATTCGAAATATCATATAAAATTCAAATATGTGTAATTAAATGCAATAGGAATAGAATCGCGTATGATTATGCTGTTACATTCTCCAAATTTATTTAGAAACAAATTTATTTGGAATTATTTTTAGTTTCCTTTGTTATTCGTCTGGAAATACCCATAGCGGTTCTACTACTTAAGACGATTACGCGGTCAATAAAGATAGTTAATGCCCGCATCGTCGAGTCCTAATCGCCAGGAGAGTCTTATAACGAAAGAGATTATAAATCCCCACGGTATTATATAACATGTATGCTTTTTCCACGGTACTTTGCGCGTTTATAAGGACAGCACAGTTATTTATTCAGCTTTTACCCTTACGATTTTAAGTTTCGTATTTAAATTAACGTCTGTAGCCTGTAGCCAAGAACCAAGAAAACAGAATATATATGAAGTACATGAAAGAGTTTACCGTGATTGGAAATATATAAATAATTTTTTTTAATTATGGCTCTCCGATTCTCCTAGGATTGAATGGAAATTTTAAAATACAGTTTACAAAATATTGATTTAAATATTGATTATTGATGAAAAGATTTTAGAAAATAGGAAAAGATCTTAAAAATTAGAAGTAGATTTGCTACGGAAAAGAATAGGGTCAGGAAAATTCCGTTAGAATAGTCTTCGACGTCTCGAAGGGTCGTTCACTGACCCGGGCCTAATCGCTGTCGCATTTGTGTCGGCACCTCGAAGGGAGCGTGAAGCTGTGCTGGATGGAGAGCTCGTTCGTCGGCACGCGACCCGTGGATTCGCCGGAGACGCCTATGAGCCTGGCGACCGATCAGGAGGCCGGCGACTGCTGCAACGCGGCCGGCACCGAGTCTTGTAGCTGCCAGGACTCGGCCGCATCCGGCCTCTACCTGGATCTGACGCCCAGCCGGGATGACGTGCGTCATCAGCACCATCAGACGTCCTCGGCCGGCCCGTCGCCCACGTCCTCCTCTAACTATCATCATCATCATCATCATCATCATCAGCGTCATCAGCATCGCCAGCATCAGCAACGTCATCACCGTGGTGAGTTGCTGCTCGCCTAGCGGACACGCGAAACTTCCGGCACTCGGCTACTTCCGGTACTCCATTCGCCGCTGAGCACGCGAAACTGACGAAGACGATTCGCGGAGAAATTCTCCTTCGGATATCAAAAATCGAGATTTTTTGTAAAATAATTGGTTTTAGATGCAATTTGAGAGAAACATTGATATGTCATATGAATATATATTACAATTAATATACATATTGATATATTAATATACGATATGTATGTAATATTAATATATAATATATCTATATTAATATATTACAAATAATATTAACATATCATTATTAATAAAATATCTTAAAACATTAAGTGTCTAAAGAGAACGATCTGATTAAAGCATTAGAGCGTGGCGTGGATTTTAAACGATTGTTCCTGAAATTTATTGAAATAGATTCCGGCATCTTTTTATAAGGTCGACTTATATAATGATAAATATTAAGGATACTCTTTACGGGTGATATTTATTTTTCACGCTTTCATCTCATCGACGTAGGCGCAGAATCCCCAGAGGCACTCTCATAATCCTCTCTCCCGCGAGCTTTTTATCATCACGACGATGATTAGAGCTTAAGCCCACGTCTCGATAATCGTTATCTCTCTTCGCTTCCTCGTTTTCGTCAGCTTTCGTCGTGCGCTCGGACGAGCCGCAGGTGCGCGAGGCTTAATTGAGCTTCCAGGACTCAGCTAATAATTAATTTGCAAAGCCGACTCGAGCCAATGTATACTTTTCTTTCGCGTTCTCGGAGGTTTATCACTGCGACTATAGGACGATAAGACTGTATATATCCACTTGGGAATTCTCTTGCGGGAATTCTCGTGAACGACTCTCGGTAGTAAAATCTTCAGAGCTGCGAATAATCGCTGATTTCGTTTATCGGAAATTTTTACTGTCGAGAATTCCCTATTCGAGAGCGAAGTTCTCGAGTGGACATCATCAGGCTTGAACGGCGAGACTCGAGATGATGAAACCGGACGAAATCGTTACATTAATATTTCACGATTTCTAATTGCAATTTACTCGCTAGGACAGATTTACGTTCGAGGATTATTCCTTAAGGGAATAAATGGAACCGCAGAAGCACCCTCGAGTCACGCTTTTCGTGGACTTTTTCGCGCAGCGAAAAACTTTAAGTAAAAACTCCATTCCACGCGCGTTCT